GTGACGAGCGAGGCTACACCACTGTCCTTACAGTACTGGAGACACTCGCGCCTCCTGTATACTGTACCTTACAAAACCTCCCCTCCTGTATCCGTCCTAAGACGACCCTTTCCTCTAATCCAATGCTATTTATTCAAAATAATTCACCCCCTGTGAATATATTGAGGATATGTACACTCTATACAAGAAATATACAAAGAATGAGATTTCTGTGTCTTTTTCAGAATTTAGAAGTCTCGCTAGACTGTTTGATAAAACTATTTTGTATTCAGTATTCAACATTTTCATCTGGATCTAAGAGATTTATATAAACGATACTGAAACATGCCCCTTAATGATGTTGAAGTTTGTTGTTAAGAATTCAGAAATGTAAAGTACCCGAATCTGCGTCTCTGTCTCTTTTCATGGACATAGAAAAACGTCAAGTGAGGAGAATAACCAGACTTGATTGTCGCAGAAACACATTCCATCTGGCATAAACGGTAAATTGATATGAAAGTTGGATGAAGGGGCAACTTGAAACCAGCCATGAGACCAGTGTTGGCGAGAAGAGAAAGCAGGTTCTGCAGGTGGCATATTGAAGAATCTGATTTGTTGATGACTACAGCAGACAAGGCGTGGAATGGTATGACATGTTCCTTGGACGGGATCAACCAGCAGTATGAAATTTGCGTCTTGGTGTGTTGTAAACTACCGGACAAAAGAAAGTACTCCCTAAACGATGTCAAGACGCTATCCGGCTTAAACACTGCACACATAGGGCCAAACATAGATATGTCCAATACAGTACTGTTGGATAGTTTTCCTTGTTTGTTTATCACTGTAGCTACCATCAAGCATACGTGTATACCTTATTTTGTCCGGCAGTGTATCTGCAGTAATGATCATGTCGGCAGTGAGAGTAGTTTGGCGTTATGGACTGTACCTTTTATGCATGTTACTGAATAAAGCTATAATGGACCTTTTTCATACAAGGCCTGTTGTTTGGGTCCTGTTTGCACTATATGATCCAAGCAACTGTGCCAACCAAGTGTTTCATCTTAGTCTTTTTCTATTAATTTTCCTAGTGGGGTAGCCTAGTGGTTAACGCGTCAACAACACTACCCCCCCCATCATAAAACTACATACAAGAAGTGGACAGGTTTGGTGGGAAGTGTAATGATGTGGACCGCCATCTCATATACCGGTAGAACGTGGTACATTATTTGGGCACTTTAATGGCCCAACGTTTCACGGATGAAATTCTTCAACCACACTATCTTCCCCATATACAACAAGCAAACATCTTTTTCTAACATGACAATGCCTGACGTCATAGGCTGACAACGGCCTTTTTGAAGAAGCACAACATCCAAGTACTGCCATGGTCCTCAAGGTCTACAGATCTAATCCCCGTCGAAGATTCATGGGATGCTCTTTCTCGACGTCTGCGTCAGCAACAGCCACAGAACCTCCAACAGTTGGCACAAGCACTGGAAGAAGTAGTGAACATTTCCCAGGCTGCAATTCGTAATCTGATTGTCTCCAAGGGACGACAATTTCAGACAGTTCTTCACTCTCATGTGGTCACACAAGATATTGAGAAAAGATGTCCTTCACCTTGACATTCAACTGTTTCATGTGTGCCATGATGAACCAGTGAAAATGACTTGTCGCAGATTTGAACAAATTATTATGATCTGTTGATCATAATTTAATGCATAAATAAATCATCTGAAAACCACTTTTGCGTTTCTATTTTTGCAGAGTATATTTCACATGATTGCATCGCGTTGTTGGTAGCGCTGTACTACAATTGCGACTCGCTGCATCCTGAGCCGATATGTGTTGGTTATATGGACGACCCTACGTATTGGCTACAACACCAAGCAGCACGCAAGGTCACTGCACTCGGGTTCCATCAAGTATTAATAAAGCTGCTGCTCATTGTAGGCGAACTTGTAACATTGCCCTCAATACACTGTATCAATCTGGGTGTTAGGTGAGGGTTTACAATGGACCCTCTCAGTGACTGAGTAGCTCCGGACGTTTATGTACACACTAATTAACAGGACGTGTACAACAGGTGTTCATGCTAGGAGTGTCTGGCCACTGAGAACAGTGAGTGAGTGAGTGAGTGAGTGAGTGAGTGAGTGAGTGAGTGAGTGAGTGAGTGAGTGAGTGAGTGAGTGAGTGAGTGAGTGAGTGAGTGAGTGAGTGAGTGAGTGAGTGAGTGGTGAGTGAGTGAGTGAGTGAGTGAGTGAGAGTGAGTGAGTGAGTGAGTGAGTGAGTGAGTGAGTGAGTGAGTGAGTGAGTGAGTGAGTGAGTGAGTGAGTGAGTGAGTGAGTGAGTGAGTGAGTGAGTGAGTGAGTGAGTGAGTGAGTGAGTGAGTGAGTGAGTGAGTGAGTGAGTGAGTGAGTGAGTGAGTGAGTGAGTGAGTGAGTGAGTGAGTGAGTGAGTGAGTGAGTTGGGCTTTACGCCGCGTTTAGCAATATTCCACCAATATCACGGCGGGGGACACCAGACATGAGCTTCACACATTGTACCCATGTGGAGAATCGAACCGCTGGGAACAGAGCTCGGGTGATATCACATCATGTTAATGTGGAAGCAAAGCTCAGAGTGATACAGGCCTCAGCCTTTCGCCACTTTGGTGAATCCCACGAACATACAAACACAAACAAGACGACCGGATACGAACCCACGTCCAAGGGACGCAACTCTGGACAACTGCGGTATCGAATTATGACAGCATGGCACAAATATATTTCCAGAGTGATTGGTTTCGTATGAGTTTTTCATTAATGCTGCCTAGAAAATACAGAAAAGATGTTTTGATTTGAGAATCAAAATGAGCTGTGTCTTTTTCATCTTCAATTATGATATTTCATGTTTAGATAAACAGCAACAGTACCATTATCAGCAGTGTGGTACATAATGGCAACAGATGTGTCTGAATAACAAATACTGGAGTTTGGAGTCATACAATTCTGTATTTTCAAATATAATGAAATTTTGTTATCATGATTTGAAACGTAATGACAAGTCCCTATAACTAGAAACAGACCGAGATGTTCAGTACACGTGTTGTATTGTGTTAGATCAAGCGTAACGTCGAATGAAATTGGCCGTCATAATGTGAGGCACCGTAGCACGTGAAACACGTGATTCTGTGATATTAACTGTGTACAGGCCAGTCTTGTTAATTTGTGAGGTGAGGTGAGGTGAAATTGGGTTTAACGTCGTGCTTGAGAATATTTCGCTCATATGACGACGTGCATGCGTGTGTATGTGTATGTGCGGCTGCTTGTACTAGCCCAGACTGAAGCTGGTTTTATAGTGCTAGCCCACTGAGATACCATGCCGCAGTGAAGCATGAATACCCCACTCAGACACATTATACTGACTCCGAGCCGACCAGTCCTTGTTGTACCCATTAATGCCGAGCGCCAGACAGGGACCAACAAATACCATATTTTAACGTCTTTTGGTATGACGCGGTCGGGGATCGAACCCGCGACCTTCCTCTCTCCGGGCGGACGCTCTAACCACTACACCACGGAGGCGGTCTGTTAGTTTGTGAACCATGAATATTGATGTAGGCTATAGCTATCGAGGAAGTTTCGGTCTTGCCTGGTCTTGGATCAAAGAGCAATATATTTAATTTGTCTGTTTGATGTTTACCGCCCCACCTCGCAATATTACAGCAATATGGCCACAATCTGTCAACAATCCAACCTGGACACACAATACAATGGTTGGCACCATGACTCATTGTCGTTACTATTGTATAAACAGTGTCAGCCAGCCTGACCACCAGGTTCCTTTAGTTGGTTGGTTCGTTGGCAGCGTCTGTAAATAATCGAGTCTGGACTAGACAATCCAGTGATTAACAGCATGAGCATCAATCTACTCAATTGGAGATCCCTTTAGACGCCTTTTTCGACAAGCATTGGTCAATGAAGACCAAATGTAACCGGATCTTCTCGGGCATGCGTCACATAATGAAGTACAGGGCTGTTCAGAGGTAACTCTCTGTACCAGTGGCATCTCTGTTTGAGTGAGTGAGTGAGTTTAGTTTGACGCCGCACTCAGCAATATTCCAGCTATATGGCGGCGGTCTGTAAATAATCGAGTCTGGACCAGACAATCCAGTGATCAACATGATGAGCATCGATCTACGCAATTGGGAACCGATGACACCCGATGCCGTTAGTCGCCTCTTACGACAAGCATGGGTTACTGAAGATCAATATTCTAACCCGGACCTTCACGAGTCATCCCTGTTTGGACAATACAAACAAGTCGCCCGTCTTTGTCAATGTATCAAAAGTGTTTTTGCAGACTCCACTTCATAACAACGAAAAGACTTGACTTGTTGAGAGTGATTGCGGTTTTACTCCACTTTTAGCAATATCCCACCCAATGTACCCACTGTCAGAATCGAACCGTTGATGGTAGACTGACTGACCGACTGAGTTTGGTTTTACGCCGCTTTTAGCAATATTTCAGCAACATCACGGCGAGGGACACCAGAAATGGGCTTCAAACATTGTACCCATATGCATGTGGGGATTCGAACCCGGGTCTTCGGCGTGACGAGCCAACGCTTTAACCACTAGGCTACCCCACCGCCCTGTTGATGGTAGAAACTTCTGGAGTACGGGTTGGAGAGTGGGTGTTTGTTGTTTAACGCCGCACTCAGCAATATTCCGGCTATATGGCGGCGGTCTGTAAATAGTGATCAATAGCATGAGCATCGAGCTACGCAATTGGGATACGATGACGTGTCAAGCAAGTCAGCAAGCCTGACCACCCGACTGACCACTTCTCTGATACCACGAGTACACGAGTTATGCTGTCGTGTGAGGAAGACACAATCAGCCGAAGACATTGTTAGAACCTGACTCACATTCTAGTCAGCTCTAACTGCAGCAATGGGAAGCCGTAGGTCTATCTCGACCCAGAATGCAAACGCGGAATACACTGACAAAACGATTGACAAAAACAGAACATTCATCTAAAGTATAACTTTATTTGGTCCCTTGTGACAACAGACAACATGTATATCTACAGACAGGTTTAACGCATGTATATCACAGACGACGCCACTCGGAGAAGGGGGTAGGGCAGAATAGCAGCTGCTAGTTGAGGAGACCATACCGATATAAAATTAGAAAAGTGGCCAAAGGCATCACGCCCGAGGCCAGTCGGCAACAACTTGCTCTACATAATGACTAGAAGCCTACACTCGTCCGGATGGTGATCACGAAGCGTCTACGGTTTCCACAAAGCAATATGACGTCACTGACGCTTTTTGCGCCTTTGGGCATCGACCATTATTTCCTGGGAAGGGTCTGAAACTTTTCCGAAATATTCCGACAAGGGGAAATGAAACCAACTTAATTTGCACCTTTTTTACAAGGAATAGCACATCAGAAGCCATTCCTGATATGTATATTAACCGAAGAAAAATGTAAACGACAGAAACCTTGAGGCAAACATTTGGATTAAAAACACTCTTCTTATCCAAATTCCGGTCCCCTGCATTTTTTCAAAAGCGGTCGTTCTTGTTCTTTGAATTGTACTGCAAGCATCGACAGCACAGTATTAAATATTTCTAAAATTTTCAGGAGAGAGTTCTAAAGAAACGAATGACTAAATGCCAGAAAAACATTCAAACACTATTTACAAAATTAGATAGCTGATAATGCCTAATAGGTTTACTGTGACTTACACGACCACGTGGATAGGTTTTGACCCAAAACAAATTATCATAAATTGTGTCAGAGGTGGGTAATAGGGAATCATTGAATGTATTCATGTCTAAAAACACGTGTTAAAAGTCACAAACTACACAGCAAGTGGATTTTCATAGAAACTATTTGTGACACTGAGGCTGGATATTATTTGATAAATCTAAACACACGTGGTGAAGGAAACAAACACCTGCTATACAGGCGCCACTAGATCACACCGTGTACATCATTCTGTGAATTATGCATGATATTTGTTTATACATTAGCCAATGTCCATGAAGAACAGGGTTGGGGACCGGAGATCGCTTCCAGATCATGTCGGAATGGTGTGAATGCTAGTCGTTCTTTTAATGTGGAATGCAGCCATTAAGTAAGAAATACCAGTTTCAAAAGATTTGGTAAGAGGGAATACAAAGAAAAAACAGTATCAACAGTGGACTTAACAAAGGCTTGCTTATCAGACCATTTCATGTTGCTAAGTACGGTGGAGCAGGATATGCTAACCCTTTTTGTCGAATGTAGTTTAATGTCACATAATTTTCATCTCTATTTTACCATTCGTTCCAAATAGAAATCTGTTTCGGAAGATGATCGAGACTGATTGTCTTCCGACGTTGTAGTTCTAAATTCTGTTCACGAAGGCATATACAAATCATTCTGATAAAGAGGTCCTATTCATCAGTCCTGGAAAGCGTTACGATTTGGTGGATAGCGTTCACGAAGGAAGTTTAACAGATACAGATACCGTAGTAGCACTTTCATTAAAGTACACTTCACAGGAAATTAATTTCAAATGCCATTTTGAAGTAAGAGACAATTTGTCTGCAGGGTCCATAGTGCATCATGTCTTGATGTCAGTTCGCCAAGTTTCTTTGTCCATGTTGGTCGGAAATACAAATCTGACAGTGGATATATTATGATGTAATGTTTTAAGTTTAAGATTTAGGTTCAAAGATACGATTCGTAGATGCTTATTAAGCTGCTAGAACCGTCATACTTGTTTGTTCTGTATGTTGAATGAATATTGGTGTTGCTCGACAGCGTTATCATAACCAGTGAACCGGAAGTGACATAATGATTGATTGTGGTTGAATCAAGAAACAAAACACAAAACAAACTCACTTGAATACAATTAACAGAGAAAGATAAATACACATAAATATTTGAATACTAGTATGTTCTTATTCCATGTCATAATGTTAATATATACAATAAAGTCTTTAGCCATTCTACTTTCATTCGAGACAAAACCATATCAGACCAGCTGTCCTGACATCCTATAGAAAAATAACAACTTAATACCATCAAGACTCAAGTCATCTAAGGAATGAACATAGATATCTTTTTTACATTTGTTTAGCCAGCTTCCTTTTTGTACTCGCACTAATCAACTTAAGTTAAGATGTTGTTGTGGCCGAGAGTAGCGAGTACGAAAACGAGGCTCCAATCTGTGTCGCCATTTTACATAGCTGGACCGTCGGGTCTGTTGGATGCGCCACGTGTTTCAGCTTTCAAGGACAGCAGATCAGCCTGAAATAAGGATCGAAGGACATTATGACTACATGCTTCGGTGAGTGAGTGAGTTTAGTTTTACGCCGCATTTAGCTATATTCCAGCAATATCACGACCGGGGACACCAGAAATTGGCTTCAAACATTGTACCCATGTGGGGAATCAATCCTGGGTCTTCGGCGTGACGAGCCAACGCTTTAACCACTAGGCTACCCCAAGGTTCGGTGAGTGAGTGAGTTAATCCACTATTACGACGTGGGCGGTATATAGCTTTACCACAGTGGGGGAGTAATCGACCCTGTCTAACTTTACAAGCGATCTTAGCACCACAAATGTCCTAAAGGATGTGAACGTTACGATAATCAAAGCATTAGATACTTTATGCTAGCGCCCTAGGGTCTCCTTCCACAAAGCAACCCCCACTACGACTGTCGTTGGCCATAATAAAATGTTACTCTTGCAAGCATGGGATCTTCGGTAATTATTAATAATAAGTGTATAATAAAGTGCCCTAAACTCCATTCACTAGGTCACTGCTCATATATAGCGCTAACAATCAAAGCACAGCAGTTGATGAAACACAAACACGAGCCTCTTGGAGTTTGAAATATTACTTCTTGTCCTGAATTTTTATAGTTTTGAAATATATCACATCAAGATAAACGGTAACCATAACTATTAGATATATCGTCAATAATATTCATGTAAATTGTAGCTAATCCTATATACTGTAATATATTACGTTAATTAAGTTAATTCAAAAGTGTGCTCTCGAGCACGCCGGGCAGTTGATGACGTAAATCCTGTAAAATCTGCATAGTAATAATAAACTCTATATTGCTATGGTCATGTATGTGTGATTTACTGTGTTTGGTTTCAGTGAACATGATGCAGGTTCTTAACAATACGATGCAAACTTGTGTCTTTGCTTATAATTTGTGAGACTATGCGCTCTGTACTACATAACTTTTCTTTGGTAGGGGGCGGTTCGGTAGCCAGGTGGTTAAGCGGTCGCTCGTCACGCCGACTACCCAGTTCGATTCCCCACATGGGTACAATGTGTGAAGCCCATTTCAGGTGTCCCCCGCCGTGATATTGCTGGGGTATTGCTAAAGGTGGCGTAAAATTAAACCCACTCAATCACTTTCTTTGGTAGGTCTTTTTTCATTCTTAGTCTTTGCGATATTGCATGAATTACCGTTCAGCTCATCACAGATAGCAGACATGCATCCTTGTGACTGCCATGCAGTGAAAGCTGAACATGAAGTCATCGTTTCAGGATTGAATCAATAAAACACATAGTCGTAGTTAGGTTTTGTGATTACAACCGAATTAGTTTTCAAACAGCCTCCTCTTGTATAAATACATTAACTTGCGTCTCTAGGAACAAATAAGGAAATGGGAAATCATTCAATCAATCCTGTAAGTCCCATGTGTCTGGCTGTGGTCGTCTGCTTGGATTTCTGACTCCAGCAGACGACACTTCATCTTGTGGGCAACTGGTTGTTCTCTTTGTTCTCAAGAGGAAGCTGCGCCGAAAGGCAGTGAAAGTGTAGCCTTTCTTTCAGTCTATATGTAGCTAACTGGCTATATCACTTTACATAATGCACTTATTGACATAGACAATGTATCGTTTGATCCGCAGAGTAGGCCTGGTCAGTCCGAGCAGTAATATTCCCTGTGAAATCGTCGTGATAAGCAAATCTTCCCTTGTATCCCTCGTACCGAACCCCCATTTTGCATAAACGTATACGTTCAAAATAGTTATCGTTCAACAGGTGGGTTTTCTGTATTAACATGGTATACTTGTCTCAGACCCAAATCTCACCCCTGCCCCCTAAAAATCAAATGTTTGCTTCTTTAGAATACTGTATGCATGCCAGTTCAAGACTTAAGGGAATACTATCTAATCAAAGAAATTCCAATTCTTTCTTGTGTGTATCAACCTGTTATAACTGTGTAAAATATTAACTGAAGCATGAAAGTACCCAGATGTCCATAAGCTTACTGATCGGACTCGAGTGAGTGAGTGAGATGGAGTTTACGCCGCTTTAGCAATATTCCAGAAATATCACGGCGGGGAACACCAGAAATGAGCTTCACGACTGGACTAGAGGAAATCCTGAGTGAGATACATCGAAACGCCAAAACGTCCAAGTCTCTTAACCTGATTTATCATCGAAGACGATGTTGGTTTGTGAGTTTGTTGTTGAGTGCCGGATCAATCTTAGATCATGGCTTCCCCGCCTCCCAATGCATGTAAAAGCATAACTGTTTGTTTATGGTGATCTAAAGTCTATGAACTATTTAGTTACAAGAGTTACCTCATTCTTGTCACCCTCCAGTGGCTGTTTCATGAGCACTCTCTGTTTTGTTGGATCGGGTTGGCTGTAATCATTCACAGCAATAACTTTATGAGAGTTCGTCCTGTCCGTGGATTCGTCACTTTCATCATCAACCTCTTCCTCCTCCTCCTCCTTCTCGCCTTCATCTTCCTCGTCGTGACCCTTCTTCCTCCTCGTCAAGGTCGTTTTCCTCCTCTTCTGTGTCACTGTCTTCCTCTTCCCCCTCCTCATCGCCTTCCTGAGCTTCATCCTCCTCAGTGTCATCGCCTGTGTCTTCATCCCCTTCTTGGTTTTCTTCATCCACATCCTCAGTTTCCTCCTCACTTTCATCATCACCATCTGTCTCCTCTTCCTCAGCCTCTTCTGAGTCTTCGTGTGAGTGTTCCTCTTCATCCCCCTCTTCCTCATCTGTCTCTGTCTCCACTTCCGTCGGTCTGTTCTCATCGCTGATGTTCTCTAACTCTTCCTGTTCATGCTCGCCTTCCTCTGAAGCAGCCAGCTTACCTCCGGGAACTCTCCCACCGTCCTTGTTGTAGTCGTAGTAGTAATAATAGTATGGCACCGTACTTTCACTTTCAACGGGATTGTGCAACATATTAGCAGCGATTTCACTCCCGGTCAGATGATGCGGTGGTTTGGTTTTGGGCGAGTCTTGAACGCTCTCCTCTACAGCTGCTTCTGTTGGCATACTGTCAGTTTCGTCATCCTCTTCCTCCGACTTCACTAATGTGTCCGCTTCTTTGCCCTCTTCCCCAGATTTCAATACGTCCTGTGACCTCTTCTCCTCGGATTCGCCCCCTTCCTTTATAACATCCGACTCCTCTTCAGGAGCTATGTCAGTGTTGACAATCTCCGTATCCTGTAGATGGGGCACGTCATCTTCCGGAGCATCAGAATCTACAGGCTGCACGTGAGGCTGTTCCTGGTCAGGTTCCACGATGTCCTCAACCTGCGACTCTTGCTGTTCCTTGTGTTCGGGAAAGAGGGGAAGGCTGTTGATGAAGGGGTTCTCTCGACTGTATTCATCCTGCGCTTGTTGGAGCGCGGCTATGTCAATGGGTCCGCTCTGCTCAGGCTGATCGGGCAGAATATGTATCTGTAATGAAAGTGATAAGCTGATAATGACCAACGTTGCTAAAGAATTCATTGGGTTATATCCATTATTAATGAGGTAAGTTAAATGTGTGTAACGTTTCATCTTAAGACGTGTCTTTGGATGAAAATGCCATAAAATATCCCTACTTTTAAACATCACACACGAAAGCATTGCTATGGGTGAGTGAGTCGTTTGGGCTTAACATCGCTTTGATCAGTATTCTGGTTATACCGCGGGGCGTGAGCTTAATGTTGGGGGACAGTCCGATGACCACAGATCACAGATGTTTACTACTTTGGTTAAACTCACGGTTATTGTGCTGACAAACCTAGACACATAATCGGGATGAAACGGATTCGAACCCACAATCATAGGAACCTGTCGCACCCAAGGGACACAACTCTACGTAGCGAACTGCAAATTGAAGTGCCTATAGACGACTGGGCCAACCGCCCTCGCGATGCTGTGGAAGGTAGATCAAGTGGACACTTGTTTAAACAGTTTGACACATAAGCAGCACTTCGGGTACGACAGATAGATTTCCCTATTGTACTCCTAAACCCTAGACCCGTGAAGATCCGTGTTAGAATTGTTCTTCAGCAACCCTTGCTTGTCGTACCCTTGCTTGTCGTAAGAGACGACTAACGGGATCAGGTGGTCTGGCTCGCTGATCGCAGATCGATGCCATTGCTGTTGATCACTGGATTGTCTGGTCCAGACTCTATTATTTACATTACAGACCGCCGCCATATAGCTGGAATATTGCCGAGAGCGGCGTTAAACAACAAACCAACCAACCTAAATCCTAGTTTCCTGTAATATCCCGCAAGGGTGAAAACATGTAAGCGGACATCTATTGTACAGTTCGGGGACATTCTTTTCGCGTCGTAAAATTACGTACATGCTGAGAAAGCAATCATTGGTTTTTTCAAATATAAACTTTGAATTTCTGATTTTGATTGTACTGTAGTTGATAAAAACCTAATTTGCATTGACAAGTTTCTACCCACGTGATTGCCTGTTCGACCAATGCTCTCATTGCCACAAGGAATTGATCACTAGATCCTACTGCAGCAAAACTTTGTATTTCGCCTCCAGATATTCTCAGCCGATTAATACTTATGGTCGAGAGTGAACTTATTTCTTGTTGCCTGAGGCAGTCAATTGTGTCTGTACCTCATCACAAGTTATTTGGTTTGTGAAGTGAAGTAGATAATCTGACAACAATACTGGTGTATTGGCTGTATATTGTGGTAACAGTGATTGTGTATTGGTCATACATCGTGGTAACAACACGTGATTGTTGGTCACTATCCTTTGGTAACAGTGCCAGTCTACGGTGGTTTGGTAACCGAGCTTATATATTGGTCGTATGTTGTGGTAACAACACGTGATTGTTGGTCAATCTCCTTTGGTAACAGTGCCAGTCTACGGTGGGTAGGTAACCGAGCTTATATATTGGTCGTATGTAGTGGTAACAACACGTGATTGTTGGTCAATCTCCTTTGGTAACAGTGCAAGTCTACGGTGGGTAGGTAACCGAGCTTATATATTGGTCGTATGTTGTGGTAACAACACGTGATTGTTGGTCAGTCTCCTTTGGTAACAGTGCCAGTCTACGGTGGTTAGGTAACCGAGCTTATATATTGGTCATACATCGTGGTAACAACACGTGATTGTTGGTCAGTCTCCTTTGGTAACAGTGCCAGTCTACGGTGGTTTGGTAACCGAGCTTATATATCGGTCGTATGTTGTGGTAACAACACGTGATTGTTGGTCAATCTCCTTTGGTTACAGTGCCAGTCTACGGTGGGTAGGTAACCGAGCTTATATATTGGTCGTATGTAGTGGTAACAACACGTGATTGTTGGTCAGTGTAACAACACGTGATTGTTGGTCAATCTCCTTTGGTAACAGTGCCAGTCTACGGTGGTTTGGTAACCGAGCTTATATATTGGTCGTATGTTGTGGTAACAACACGTGATTGTTGGTCAGTCTCCTTTGGTAACAGTGCCAGTCTACGGTGGTTAGGTAACCGAGCTTATATATTGGTCATACATCGTGGTAACAACACGTGATTGTTGGTCAGTCTCCTTTGGTAACAGTGCCAGTCTACGGTGGTTTGGTAACCGAGCTTATATATCGGTCGTATGTTGTGGTAACAACACGTGATTGTTGGTCAATCTCCTTTGGTTACAGTGCCAGTCTACGGTGGGTAGGTAACCGAGCTTATATATTGGTCGTATGTTGTGGTAACAACACGTGATTGTTGGTCAATCTCCTTTGGTAACAGTGCCAGTCTATGATGGTTTGGTAACCGAGCTTATATATTGGTCGTATGTTGTGGTAACAACACTTATGTGTTGTCACCTTTGGTAACAGTGTTTGTAAATTGGCCGTTTATTGCAGAAACAGTGCTAGTGTGTCTGACGTTCTACTGTGGTGCTAGTCACGTCACTGACGTCGTTCGGCCCACCTCACTCATTGACTGTCCTCACAATAACTGTACACTGTAAGGTCCGTAAGCCCTAATTCCTTGAGCCTTGATTCACCAGGCATCTTCTGTTTACTAACCGTATGCTCCAATTAGTCGCTGATGACGCCAACGCCAGGAATCGATTCCGGGGATTATTATTGTTATCTGGCGTAATTACCCTGGGTCTGCCTGTTCTTGGCCTGTCTGATGTCTGTCCGGTTGTCTGTACCGTTGCACTATGTAGGCCCGAGCAACACGAAAGCAACCATGGTTTAAACAATGTAGGCATGGGCGAGTCTCATCTCTATCATACTCAGGGCCCGCTGGCGTTGTTCGGGTGTCAGTCGTTACATTTCAGTGGTGTTTGTTTCATCATACCCACTGTCTACCGTGCCGTTCGTATCATCTACATACCCTGATTGCATGTATAGTTCCGACAGCCCAAGTAGCTTGGCAACCTTTTGTCAAACTTCCAAAACTAGTAAACCGTATTCGCGAAAATCACACACACAAACATATGTTTGTAAATGTAAATCTGCAATCTAAGTCTATCGTGTGAAGTCATCTTTGGTCAATTAATCTGAACAAGACGCACGAACCTGATCCTCAAGCGTGTCCTGATTGGCGTTGGGCTGTTGTATGACGGGAATGGCGTTACTAAGGTCAGCGTCTGTGGCCTTGACATCACTCACATCGTGGGGGTCGACGAGGGACTTTCCGCTACTGGAACCTCGTTGTTGTGTGATGGTTGTACGGGTGGCCTGGCGTCGTTATTGATACTTCCTGCGGTCATCTGGTTCCTCTCGAATGCATTTCGCATAGGGGACTCTGCAATTTAACGGTATGTTTGTAGGATATCAATCCGCAACAGAAACGTCTTCTTTTAAGCCTATTGCGCATCTGACAATCGAATGACATATTTATGATATTTTGTAAATTGTGACATTTCAACTCATTTATCTCGGTGAGTTAAAGTCAGATCTTTCGTGAGTGTAAAATCATATAAATTTCCCTTGGGTTAATGAAGTCGTATGTAATCTTATCCCATGACTCGACATCGACACTCGGCAAGGCACGTGAAAACCTTTAGCTTTTAGTGTTAGCCCTAAGAAACATTTACTGGAACATCCTAAACCAAACTAAAATAATACATTGTTAACCCTCCAAGACTGAAACATTCAATTTTATGGATGTCTTGTTTCAGCACTGAGCGACGTTTCGATGTAGATTCTTACATCGTTATCAAGCTAAATGTTGTATGTTAAGTTGTATGTTTCATGTTTAACTCACTAGTTTCTAGAATGCCGAGCAAACAATTGTTAACCACCTGTCGGGATGTGATGATCTATGTATATATTGAATTGTAATCTATTCCCCAAATCAGAAGAGAAGTGCATTTTATCGATTAATCTACCTTTTTAAACAGGTTTTGTCGTTTAGGGTTTTCTGATGACAAGATAGGATGCGTTCTGGTTTCTATCAGCCAGTGGTACAAGATTGAGAGGCCACTCGACACGAGCCATACCACCTCAAGGGAACAGCGTTCAGATCGATCTACTGACACTTACTGTAGATAAAACGAGGAAATTCGCCCCCGGCCTTCTTCTCGACTTGCTTCGGGATCTGGAATAAATTGTGGAGCCATACGTTAAATGAAATATTGCTAATTGAGGTCACCGGGGCGGAACGACCAATTGCTTTTGTCATGTTAGGTGAGAGGTCTCGAACCTCGGGGACCTGAAAATGCTTTAAGCTTTTTACCATCAAATTTTAAAAGATCAGAGGAATAATTTCGTTTTAGGTATTTCTGCTTTTTAACACGAATCGTGTACGGAGCTAACCAGCAGTGGTGACGTAATGGCGGTCTCTTTGGAATACGTTTTTCCGGAATTTGTCGTACATGTGTCGAATATGTCAAATTGCTATGAATCGGGGACTTAATTAAGTATAAAGTTTAGTTAGTCAGCACAAAATCGATTCTAGTTACACGAGGTAGGACGGGGAGAAGTGTGCTTTAGACATTTCTGACGAGAACCCTTCGTGACCAGACGTTGTAAAAGGCCGGCTCTTAGGGGTGCGACGCTGTGTTAATCGACGTCCAAGATCCGATGGCAATGTAAAAACATGACGCTTTTATTTTTATGGATCGTCCTATATTCGTGTGAGGTAAAAGGACGCTGGGCTGTTTCAAGAGTAGGGTTACTGGTCGTTTTAAAAGGGGGATTATTGTTACGTGTGAAAAGCTACCTTGTTAGAAGCATAGCAGGGAAGGATTGACACATTTTAAATAAAGCCGTCATGCAAGATGAAGTTGCTTGCAATTAAATCTAATGAAAGTGAGTTAAACTTTAAAATCAGATTCTGTGCTCTTCTGTTCTCACAGGCGAAAATCCCATGACGTCATGTAGAAAGGATTCCGAGTTTATGAGGACGTGGATAGTTTTTCAGTTATATTCACTATTCGAAATTGTTTACCACTTTGGAGTAAGTGAGTGGAGTTTTACACCGCCTTTAGCAATATTCCAGCAATATTGCGGCGGAGGTCACCAGAAATGGACTTCACACATTGTACTCATGCGGGGAATCAAACCGGGTCTGTGGCGTGACGAGCGAACGCTTTAACCACTAGGCTACCGCACGACCCCTTGCCGCTTTGAAGACCCAAGCTGTACTTTGTGGTCTCTAAAGACCAAATATTATAATCGGTGTGAATTCTTGTACGTTATGGACGCAAAATTGAGGCAAGTGAGTTTAAGGGATTAAACGCTGTTATGGATATTATTTCATAGTTTAATGTTTAAAGAGAGCTAGAATTGGTACAGGACTTCCATGTTTACCACTTATGGTGCAGACAAACCAAGAAATATAAACATGAAGATCTGAGATTCGAACCACGTTGATACGATTTAGACACGTAAACTCAGTATACAGAACCGCGGCACCTTCCACGACTTGTCCGGACGTCCCCCATCCGCTTCAGCGAAGGTTATGTCCATTATCACTCTCCTACCCAGAGTTCAATGCGGCCAGCCAGCATAGTACCTCTGCCACAGGCCAGACAATTCGTGACATCTTGCACAGTCCATTCAATATATTGTACGTAATTCGTAACTCTTTTATTTTTGACGAGTCTACACATCTAATTAAACATCTTTGATAGAACGGTTTAGTTTCACTGAGAAAATATCCTAAAACATGTAACACTATTTCGATTGCGTAGCGATCCTTTGTTTACATAGGTTGTACGGCTCCACGTGCTGTCATCGAAGCCGATGGAGAGCAAACGATGCAGCCAATTTGATATCTAAATATGTACTGTCATAAACCTTACTGTCGCAGTTGTGGAAGAATACATATGTAACAATGTAAAACATTGTGAAGAGCGCGCCGAAAAGCTTAAGTAAGGCCAGTCTCTTCTTATTACGAATATGCGCGTTTGTTTACAAACAAGAGAAAAGTCCGGTCACATGATATGCAAATTAGCCTGTGGCAGTGATGTTATGCTAAGTCATCACTGCGCCGGAGTGCGGTCCATTATATTACTGTCTGATATCATTCAGACACATGGTGGTTAACCGTAGTCTGCGGTAATTAGAATTCACAGATAACCAGTTTGTACCTATCAACGCCATGTCAGGGATGAACACTACCCGGGGATTTATTCCAAGTATTCCTGTAAAGCTAAAGGCGGCCTCCGTGGTCTAGTGGCTGGAGCGTCTGTCTGAGAGCTGACGGTCGGTGTTTGATGCCCGGTGGTGTGTTACCAAAAGACTCTAACATATGGTATTTGTTGTTCTGATGTCTGGGGATCGGCATTCAGCGGATAAAACAAAGCGTCAGGATAAGTCGTCTCAGAGGGTATGTCAAAATGCGCCATGATATCTAGTGGGCTAGCACTATCACTGACATTAATCTAGATCATTACAAGTGCGCGCACGCACACGCATACATGTTATATAAGTGTAATCCTCTTGACCGCGACATGAAACGACATTTCATGTCATGACCTCGCTGTATTAAGACGCAGACATTTTGCTGTGGTGGATATCTAACGAGCCAGGTGTCAGCTTCATTGGCGGCACGTTGCTTTCCAACATCGTGATCGTCTACATGATAGTTTCCTACAGGCTTGGGTCGATACAACTCAACGAGATCTGTGTCAACACTCTCCTCGTGGTGACTCACTCACCTTGGTCAGCTGCGGGCTAGGTTCCTGGAAGGCGGAAGGGCGCTGTTATCACTGTCGTCAGCTAGCGGGTGCCCTAGAAGTTTCTCACCTTCCTCTGAAACAGAAGTGAGTGAGTTAATAAGGTGGAACTCTGTGTTGTGCAATATTCAAGCATTTCATAGATTTTAAGCACGGGAATCCCTTATGGGTGTGAGCGTGCGTGTGTCAGTGTGCGTGTGTCTGCGCGTGTGTATGTATCAGTGCGTGCAGTATTGTGTACGTGTATGCGTGGAAGTTGGGTGGATGTGCGTGCATGCTTGTGAGTACATGTGTGCCTGAGTGTTGCGCAAACCACCCTTCTGATAACAAAAACCAAGTAGCCTGTACAGCCACTGCCACAGGAATCAGAACTAGAAAATACGGACAGTTGCACCAATGCAAATATTTTTACAGATTAATTTTTGTAATAATTTGTACATCAAACTATTGATATAACACTGTTTTAACGTGGATGGTTCCCCCTATTAATCAATATTAACTACGGCCTTGATCTCACACAACATGTCGATGTACAAGTAAACACACGCAGTATACAGTCATACAGCATTCCCCTTTCTGAAGACTGGTGTGATAACATAACCTGCCGCAACAAGACTCGGGATCCCAGGTGTATATGATTTGTGTCTGCAGAGTGAAATGTGTTATTTAAGAGATATGCAGAAGACTTGCAACTTGTTTTGTCGGTTATAGCTCCGGCTTGATAGCATCCCTTGATCAAGAATCCTGGACTGATCTATCGATATTGCGCATGGGTGATGGATGGTGCTGCACAAAATGAGATTTAACAAACAACAGCAGTCCACTGTATCAAGTGACACAAAGAATGATATGTTTTGGAATGCAAAAACAATTCACCTTCTCTGAACAAAGTGGATGTATAACAATGGTCGCTTTACGTTAAAAATATGTTCTCACTGACTGGTCCCTAAAGACGTATGGCGGATGTTATGTCTGCGATCCAAGATCCATTTGAAACTGGCAACGGAGTTAGAAATAATCTGGTTTTTTAATCGCGTGATCTACAGTGCTGTTGACATGTGGGAAATGTATATTAAAGAAAACTATGTTCTCCGCTGGCATTTGCCGTATGTAATCTACTTTGAGCCAGAAATCAATGCTCCGTCAGACTTTTGGCGACTTGCAACTGTACTTGTACATGCAGAATAGAAACTGCAAGTCACATTAATGTGATTAGGCTCACCTGCGATATGCAAGCAGTCGCTCAATGAAGTACCAAATGACGTTAACAGTTACGTCTGACAGATGCTTGTAATGCAATAGCCGCATTCAATAGCATTAATGTCCTATACAGTTTACGGTAAAGGTCAGGGGAAGGCTGATGGGCACCTGTCACCGGGTGACGTGGAGGATGCAGGATGTCAGGGCGGTAAGAGTACTGCAGGGGAGTGGGGGAAGGTTGTGCTGGGGGTGGGATCATTGGCAAGGCTAGGTAGGAATGTTCAGGTGTGTCTCTTGGGTCAGTGGCAGCGTTCATTCTGGATGGGTCCAGTCATTGAGCATTAATCAAGGTCATGATCAGGCATAGTGAGTGAGTGAGTGAGTGAGTTTAGTTTTACGCCGCACTCAGCAATATTCCAGCTATATGGCGGCGGTCTGTAAATAATCGAGTCTGGACTAGACAATCCAGTGATCAACAACATGAGCATCCATCTACGCAAATGGGAACCGATGACAATGTGTCAACCAAGCCAGCGAGCCTGACCACCCGATCCCGTTAGACGCCTCTTACGACAAGCATGGGTTACTGAAGGTTCATTTTAACCCGGACCTTCACGGGTTAATCAGGCATAGTAGCCGGTTATTATGGAAGGACGAGCGTGGAGCTAATTGTCATGTCCTAGACTGCCCCGGAGTGTGCCCCGGGGAACTTTCATTTCCTAGACACCCCTCATGACCAACTGAAACATATTCCAGCTCTAATCATTAAGTTGCTCTGGACAAAATATTAAATGTTTCCAATCGGATTGTGGACGATAGATGCCACTTGCCACATGTTTGTGAAACTAAATTTCATTAAAAGTGTAATGGTCGTCCGATTTGCTATCCGCAGATCGATGGTCATGCTGTTGATTACTGGATTGTTTGGCCCAGTCTCGATTATTTACAGACCGCCGCCATATAGCTGGAATATTGCTGAGTGTGGCGTAAAACTAAACTCACTCACTCACTGATTTGCTATCGTTAGACGTCTCAAAGGCGAACGTATGGACACGTTTGAACATCAGTACCCCGTTTCAATACTCTACGTCTTATAATGTGAAAAGATGTGATATCATTACATGAGAGTGCACTGTACACTTAATGTGTTTTAAAGCAGCAGTTAGGCATTTACTTTCAATGATGTCTTCCACGATCTCAGGATGTTGTTTGAGACTGTGGAGGAACACTCGCAGAACGCTCTTGACGTCCTGATCCGCGGCTTCAAGGTTGTCGGACAACCCATCAAGGTCTTCCCCATGGGGGTCGACATCCTCAGCGCTCACTCTTTCAGACCGCTTGACTTCCGGTTCAACATAGTTGTCGACAATCTCTTTTTCTTCGTTTGAAATGACAGCCTCGTTCTCGCCATGCTCACTGATTGGTTGGTTTTGTTGGTGGACCCCCTGCAGCTCCAGTTCTAATGGGTCTGAAAGAGTCTGAAACAGCAAGTAGCAATGGTCAGACCTCCTTTGATGTATCGAAGTCAGAGTAGACCCAACATGTCTCTTAGACGATTAATGGTTGAGGAACGAGGCGAATTTTAAAGTACCTTAAGATGGATTAAATGTCTGCTTTGTTCGATGAAGAATGAATTAGGCTTACGTAAACGATTGACAACCTTAGGGAACTTTCTCGTACACGGGAAAGCAATCAGTCAATGTCTGATGTTTTTTTGTGCTTAGAATATTTGAATTTATATTTCAAAACATGAATAAAGTGAGCTAGTGAAAGTTCAGTTGAAGTGTATCTAACACAAGCCAGGTGTGTGAAGTAGTGGTAAAGTAACCTGTATTCACAATAGTTTCCACGCTCTGGTTGTAAATGTTAAGTGAAGAGCATTACACAGTCAATTGATTCTTCTAAGTGTCAATATAACCCAGTCAGCTCAACTTCATCCAATAAACACGTTGAATGAATGTTTCAGCTTTTAAGCACGAGATCAATATTGTTTCTTGAGAGTGTAAATTTGTGCTCGTGAACTAAAACCAATATCAAACGATCGTGAGCAAGTAGAGAACGTTTATGAAACATTAATCTATGGAATATCAATATGGTATGGATTAACAGCTTTTATTGAAGGTATGCAAGATTCATAAACAATACGGTGAATTTGGAGGATTAACAACCACCATGGAAGCTAGACAGGATTAACAACCACCATAGAAGGTAGACAGGATTAACAGCCACCATGGAAGCCAGGACAGGGTTAACAACCACCATGGAAGGTAGACAGGATTAACAACCACCATGGAAGGTAGACAGGATTAACAACCACCATGGAAGGTAGACAGGATTAACAACCACCATGGAAGGCAGGCAGGATTAACAACCACCATAGAAGGCAGGCAGGGTTAACAACCACCATGGAAGGCAGGCAGGATTAACAACCACCATGGAAGGCAGGCAGGATTAACAACCACCATGGAAGGTAGACAGGATTAACAACCACCATGGAAGGTAGACAGGATTAACAACCACCAGGATTAACAACCACCATGGAAGGTAGACAGGATTAACAACCACCATGGAAGGTAGACAGCAGGCAGGGTTAACAACCACCATGGAAGGCAGGCAGGATTAACAACCACCCACCACCAAGGTAGACCAGGATTAACAACCACCATGGAAGGAAGGAGCAGGATTAACAACCACCATGGAAGGCAGGCAGGATTAACAACCACCATGGAAGGCAGGCATGGAAGGTAGACAGGATTAACAACCACCATTAGGCAGGATTAACAACCACCATGGAAGGTAGACAGGATTAACAACCACCATGGAAGGTAGACAGGATTAACAACCACCATGGAAGGTAGACAGGATTAACAACCACCATGGAAGGTAGACAGGATTAACAACCACCATGGAAAGGATTAACAACCACCATAGAAGGCAGGCAGGGTTAGGCAGGCAGGATTAACAACCACCATGGAAGGTAGACAGGATTAACAACCACCATGGAAGGTAGACAGGATTAACAACCACCATGGAAGGTAGACAGGATTAACAACCACCATGGAAGGCAGGCACCATGGAAGGCAGGCAGGATTAACAACCACCATGGAAGGTAGACAGGATTAACAACCACCATGGAAGGTAGACAGGATTAACAACCACCATGGAAGGCAGGCAGGATTAACAACCACCATGGAAGGTAGAGCAGGATTAACAACCACCATGGAAGGTAGACAGGATTAACAACCACCATGGAAGGTAGACAGGATTAACAACCACCATGGAAGATTAACAACCACCATGGGACAGGATTAACAACCACCATGGAAGGTAGACAGGATTAACAACCACCATGGAAGGTAGAAGGGATTAACAACCACCATTGGGGTCGGGACTTGCAATTAAAATGGAAAATGAACAGGGTTAACAACCAGCAGGGCAGGGAGACATCTAAACGTGACCAGTCTAAATAAAGGAATACAATACGAAAATTCAAAACAATGTAATTCTGAGAGTAACACAATTTAACGTGGTAGATGTTAAAGTACATATATAATAGTGGACCTACCCCAATAATACCAATAACAGACCTAACCCCGAGACAATTTAACCATATATAATAGTGGACCTACCCCAATAATACCAATAACAGACCTAACCCCGAGACAGTACTCGATATTTTGTCCTCTCGATTCATTGCGGTTTATAACGACATCATCTCCTCTAGAATCAACATCCCCTTAATGGCTGTTCAATGCGGTCCAGTCGCCCCTCTCGACGTATTACGTGCAGCTGGTCCTCCTCAGACAAGACTGCACACGAACGTTCATTGGTAACGACACGCGCAGCACGAGACGGCGATAGGAGCTGCACGATTTGAGGCACGTTTCCCTCTTTGATGCAGCCGAGGCCGAATCGACAGCAGGACATCAAAAGGATCATGGTTACCAAAAGAAGTATGGTGCCACTCTACTTCAACATGAATATACTGTTTTAGCCCCTCGGTGTCATACGTGGTGAGACCGGTAAGGGTATAGACAGTTTTCATTTTTAGTCTTTACGGGTGTATGACGTGACGAACTGCCAAACGAACGCTGTACTTTTCACAGGACGTAGTTTGTGTGAGACCACATAGCTACTGGCATTGTGGTAAACATTGTAAATGAACGCATCATGTTTATAAGGAGGTTTATATGTTGAGACTCTCTTAACGTCTTGTACCGCGGCGGGGTGGTGGAGTGGCCTAGTTTTAACTCTCGCTCGACACGTTAAAGACCCGGGTTTGATTCCCCACATGGGTACAATGTGTGAAGCCCATTTCTGGTGTCCCCCGCCGTGATGTTGCTGGAATGTTGCTCAATATTGCTAAAACCACACTCAATCATTCTTATACCGCGATGAACTTTATAAACAAATACGTCATTTTTATTAGAAACATGTTGAGTCACTCCTGCTTGTGTTGTGACCTACTTTATACACGAACGAACCACTTTTATTAGGAGTATGTGTTGTGTTGAACTTTATCAATTAACACATCACCTTTGTCAGAACACAGGTCATTTGAAACGCTTAATGCAGAGCTTTTATTTGTGCATGACTCGAGAGAACTATTGATAATTAACTCATCATTGTAACAGAAGCTCTGTAATATACTCTGATTGGCCAATCAAAACAGAACATTCTGTCAAGTCACGGTAGAATGTTTAATTGATTATGGGAAGCTACTGACAATAGGATCCATCACGTTAACACATCTACAACAGAACGAGCCTCGGGCAGAGTCTCTGTTAACGATGCCGAGGGATGTATATATGTTATGGGTAGTGGGCGTTGATCTAATTAGGACGTCCCCTGCACACATCGAAAGTTGAGGAGAAATGGCTGGATTATGAGAGTTTACTGACACACAAACGAAGTAACCGTTCTCGGCGTCGTAAATGGGGCCGCCATCTATATTTCATGGTGTGCAGAGATCGCATGATAGGCTCCAGTACAATGTATGGTTGTCTACATCTGGGTCTAAAACATGAATAATGTACTGTAGCATCCTAAGTTAACAGATTAACGACGTTACTGATCCTAGCTTCCCAATTCCCATCCACCCGTCCGTCCATCCATACATCCATCCATCACCTATCCACCCGTCTGTTTTTCCATTCATCCATCTGCCCATCCATCCGTCCGTCCTACCGTCCATCCATCCATCTGCCCATCCATCCGTCTTTTCGTCCATCCATCCATCTGCCCATCCATCCGTCCGTCCATCCATCCATCTGCCCATCCATCCGTCTTTTCGTCCATCCATATATCCAACACGAACTTTAAGCTCTTTACACTAAACCATTATTCTAATGGAAACACTGAAACGCTATTCAAACATTAGAACTATTCAATACTTGTTACCACGATTCCCATCATTTAACGTAACTGGTGATGTTTTGTTTTATCAACAGTAGGAGTCCCCTTGTAAATACATTTACAGAGATAATAAGCCATTAGAGCCTTCATATTGTCGACCATGGAGGAATCATTCACACCAGGTGGCGCTATCTACGCCATTTCCGCCTCTCTGCAGCACGTAAATGCAGCACTTCGTTACCCATTAACTTCATCCTCGCAGCTCCTTTTCAACTATCGCCTAATTAGCATGTTTCAATATCTAATTAGTAATGATATGTATTTTGGGAAAAAAGGATAAACTGTCTTCAAGAAACTACTGGAGTCCTTATTTTTCTCGATTTTCTCGTGGTCGCATATCCACCAGCTACGTCATTAGTTTACCGTTAGTCGAATGGCAATGATTATGCAGTTTGTTGTTTCCCTGGTAACCGGTTATTGCCAGTTTGAACCAGATTTCTGAAGTGGATGTTGCAGAATGAATCATAATGATGACATTAAAAGAGCCAAATGTATTTTCATAATCATTTATTAAAAAACGTCATAGGCGTAGAATTTCAATCATTGGTTATCTGAGTTCTTTGGAAGAAGAAGTCAAAACGGTGATGTTCGCGAAAGGATATTTTAAGCATGCCCTGTTCATGAAGTAGTGTCCATTGGACGATTCCGACTGCATCAAATAGTGACGATACCAGGTGGTAGATGGAATGTGAGCGTATCCTGCCCCATCGGTGACACTCGTCACAAACACATGCAAAGGCAAGACAGTTATTCATTTGAAAACAACCCAGGAACATATGGTCATACACATACGTGTCACCTGGGATTTGCGTGAAGCGTCCTTATTGTTACTGATGTGTGGAGGTTGGAAATGTCAACCTGCCTACCATGTTTGTGGCGGTGCTACTTGAGGGACACTAATACGCTCACCTTTTCGCGGACACCCGGTGTCATCACTATTTGATCGTGATTCACAAACACGTGCTTATGGTGCAATTAGAATCTACAATCGATTCGGGGAATAGCGGAGAATAATTGCATCTGAGGAAAGGTTTTTTTTCGCTTTAATCACCCTACAACTGTT